ATGCTGCAGAGCAAAATCATTACCACAAAACTTTGTTAGGTTCAGACTAAATTTCTGCTTTTGACTGCTATTAAGGCAACCCTGTCCATTAACCTTAGACCTTATGGTGGTTTAAATGTTAACTGAGCCTTCTAAATGAATGTATGTGTGTGTCCCATTAAACAGTAGCTCAGGGCTTCAGCTGAGGTGTGCGCACGGGGATCAGACAAGTTCTAGTTCTTCTCATTTTCCTACATTCTAGCTCGTAGGTTTCACTTTGCCCCATTTCTCTGGGTTCAAAGACAGAGCTTCTGTTGCAGTTTTCATTTCTAGGTCGGTTGCCCACTCTGTTCCTGCTTTGGGGAAAACTAAGAAAATTGGAGAGCAACAGAAGGGAGAGGGCACTCCTGTGTGGTCTTTCCAAGGCTTCTCACACTCTGGAATGCACATGCATGGATCTTGAAAACTCTGTTGTTCAGCTAGCTCACCTGGAGTCTTAGTTACAATCAGCAGGTGCATGCATTCTGATCTTACGGCCAGGAGAGAACAAAGCTCCAGATATAGGTTTTGAAGACTCTCTGGATCCAGAACTTAAAATACTGTGTTGTCTGTCCTCTTCAAAGAAGATGTGACGTTAGAACTAGATGCTCTGAATTGAATACAGCCACAGCCTCTTGAAGATCTCCCACAGATCATCCCTTGGTTCCTGACAACAGATTTGTATTTGACTATTGTTAGGGAGGTATTAAAAACCATTTCCACCTCACCCACAGAAGAGGTGAAAAGAAAAGGAGGGGAGCCATGAAATGCAATGCAGTGAGGAACAGATGGCCTGGCTTGAACCTGGTCAGCCGGCAAGCGCCGGCACCTCTCTGGATCCCTCCTCATAAGCAGGGTTAGAATACAGCGGGACGCACTGCAGAAATGACTCACCTCCAAAAACACATGAGCCAGGCCTTCACCCTGATGAGAGATTGAGTATTTTTATTATCTCCGTAATTCAAGAAAGTGGCAAACCCCGTGAAAGTATGCAGACATGGTTGACTATTTCTGCAAGCGTGCTCTACCGTCTCCCTCACAGTCATGTTTCCAGGCACTGCCCATTTCCTTTGTGATCGTGACATACTCTTATAGTGACTTGTTCTGGAAAATGACTTACATTTGTTGTTCTGGGCCTCTTCTGACAGTAGTACCTTCAACAGTAACAGTGCTAACCTATAAACAAAGAAAATAACAGTAGCTCATTGAAAGAGTTGATGCTGTATTTATTGTATGCTGCTAGTTTATAAACATTACCCTCCTAATCCTGCCAAGTTATATTTGTCAAATGAGTAAAATATAGCTAAATGTTCCAAGGCCACTTAGGTAGCAGAACTGTGCCCTTGGTAGGGCCTGAAGTTCCCAAGACAACATGGCTGATGGCTGTCTACAGATGAGGGAATTATGTAAGCCAGCGCCTGACTGTCACTTCCTTTGGCAGTGAACCAGCGGGAGTGCGTGGTGAGCTGCCACATTTAAAAGCTGGGCAGTGAGTCAGATTCAGTTTTTAACTTGGGCTTCCTCCATGGGTTCTCCATTGTGAGGCTTGATCCAGTGAATAAAACTAGTCCCAGCAAATCAGCAAAGCAAAGTGCTGCGCGTGTCTCTGTGAATGGCTGTGGGGCTGACCAGCCATGTTCCCTACTGAAAGGAGAAACTATTACTCCTCTGATCATGATTAGTGACTGCAAGGGTAAGTGAATACTGTGAAGAGCCGAAGAGCCGGCGTTGATGGTGGGATGTTTAGGTGTCCGTTGCTGACATTACCATTTAGACTCGCCTGCTGCGATAGTGCACGCCTAGAGCCGCAGCCCTTGGGGTGCCGGGATGGGAAGATCAGATGAGTCCCAGCCAGGCAGGGCCCAGGGAGCCCTCACTTCAAAACAACATGTGTTCCAAGGACAGATATATAAAAATCACCTCAGAATGAAACCAGCTATTTACTCAGAAGAAAATAATTTAAAATGTAAAACTAGAAGGATGCCTTCAGCCTGGAACATTTAAATAAGATATCCATTCATGAGGTGTTCTTTGAGCACTACTTTGTGCCTCATACTTGTCCGGACATTAGGAATCTAAGGAGAATGCAGGAGTTGACAGGATTCACCTGTGCTTTTCAAGAGCTTCACATCTTTGATGATTACTTTCCCCTCCTGCATTAGCCTTCCTCTCCATCACATCCCATGCTGTATACACACACACATGCGCATCCAAGGCTCCACATGGGGTAGGGCATTCCCTTGTACTGAAGCCCTCTGTGCACTCTCTACTTCTCTGGGTCTCTACAGAAAATGTTAAGGGTTTTTTTTTTTTTTGGTTTTGTTTTTAACATATATAAAACTGTTTGTTTCTCAGTTCCTCTTCTACAGTTACTAATGTATCATCAACCCTCTAAGCTAATCTGGTTTTCCCTCCCATCATACATCCCAGAAATGCGTGCATTTTGTAGCTTTTCCTGCTCCAGCTACATACCCTGATGTCTCTTGAACCTGTCCCATGACTCAGTCTCTTCCTTCCTCCTCTAACTCCTCCTGCCCTGGCTGGCAGGAAGTCCAGCCCTGTTCTCTCTCCTGCTCAGGATTGTCTGTAAACTTTTATTGACCTATCAGGGGACAACTGGGGAGCAGTGTTTACACAGAACTGAAACAGGAGATTCTCAGAACAAGGATTGCAACCAGATATGGGGACACAGAAATCAGCATCTGAATTACACAATAACCTAATAACTACAGAATATGCTCAACTGAGGTTTCAACTACTTTTTCTCCCCCTCTTTGTCCCCTGTGGTCATGGTTTTATTATAGCCACTGATTGTCTAAAATTCCCCTTGTCCAAATCCAGTTGAGAATTCCAGTGGCCAGCTCATAGTCCGACCTCGTGTTCCCCATAGTTGCTCACTGCTCAGTGCTCCTCCATGAAATGCTGTATGGTTCCCTCTGCCCTCTGATGCCTCTTTAGTGTTTCTTTGCCCTTTTCTTAAACCATAGTGTGTCATGGCGCCTCATCTTTGCATGACACCTTTCTTCTCTCTACATTGGCAGTGCATGTATTTTCCAATCGCAAACCTTCGAATGCCGTCCAAAAGCCAGAGCTGTCTCTTAGACCTCTCTGTGACCTTAGAATAGGTATACCAACTACTTACTCCTTCCTCCACTCAGACTCCTGATAGATCTCTCAAACCAAGTGTTGTTGATTATTAATATTTATCATTGATTTATCTTTTAGTTAAGCAGTGGTTATTCCTGAACCAGCTGTATACCTAAATCACCACACAGAGACAGGGGTTTATTTAGTTAACCTAGAGCACAGTGCTGGGCAATAGTTACTCCATCCTAAACTTCCAAGCCCGCATAGTTTCCTCCCATTCAGATTTCACCCATTATACTTGCTTTTAGTCATATCTTAGGTCCGGTTCATCTCTCCTTGTGGTTTGAAGTCCTCTCCTGCTGATCTTTGCTCTCCTACTCACCAACTTGCTTCCTTTTCCTCTCCTCCAGAACAGGATGTCCCACCCTATTCTCTCCATTGCTCAGCATTGTGGCTAGTTGTTTTATTGACAATACAGAGAACAAATGGTGGCATGTTTACATAAACTGGAGACAGGAGATAGTTAAAATAAGCATCACAAAGCAATGTTGGGATTGAAACCAGATAGTGGGGTAGAGAAATCAGCATTTGAATGAACAAGGGTAAATTTTAGACATTCCACAAGAACATTATACCAACATCCAAGTTTACCATTATATTTACTGCTTAGACACACACACACACACTTAAATGAAACACTTAAATAGCATAAGCATTCTCATATAGCAAATCCAAATCACAGAACATGTCTGGAAACCCCCTAGACTCAAAAGTAATCCCAGGCTCCTTGGTTTCCTGCTGCTCTCATTGTGGTTTCTCTGCTTATAGCTTCCTGTTTATCTTGTCCATGTTCAGGCTAGCAGAAGGGAGAGGGAGAGACAATTGCCCAGACACACTGTAGGCAGTTCTTATGCTGCCATTTCACTGACCAGCACAGCTGAACCTTACCTGCAGGGATACTTGGAAGCTTCACATTTTAAACAATATGGCAAACATTCAGCTAAATTCCAGATTGTTTTACTAAGGAGGAAGAAAATAGTGTTAAGAGGAAACCATCACTGACACACGCCCTTCCTTTGGGTCTTGGATTAAATACCAATTATCAAAGAGGCCTTCAGAGGCCTATCTAACCTACACTTCGCTCTTTATATCTGCACAGCCTAAATCATGTCATATGGTGCTACACACACTCATGACTTCCTTTATGGATAAATCTGGTTGCTGAATCTTCTCACTAGACTTTGCTTTGTTAGCCATATGATACAGCCTCAATGAGTAAAGTAGAACAGAGAGGGATAAAGAAAGCCAAGAAGCTGTGTAGAGTTTTGCCTGTCCTGAGTGCAGAAGAGTTTCCCACCTCCTCACCACCTCAGCCTTTCCTGTCCTTTGGGAAGCTCTGGGGATGGTCTCTTGCTATAGTCACATGCCACTACTTACATAATAAAAATAAACCAAAAGTATACAAAATGCAACTTCCATTTCCCAGTCACACTAGCCACAGTGCAAGTCCTGAGCAGCAGATGTGACCGAGCACAGCAGTCCATTATCTTAGCAGCTCTTGGGCAGTGCCCCCCTCGGGAAGCTAGTCAACAGATGGCAGACTCTTAGTCTCTCCCATGACTTTCTCTTCTAAAGGAGAATCTGCATTTTTCTATTTAAATGGAAATCTATGTGGTGCCTAGAAAACTAGCATGTGGCCTGCTCCATATGCAAATGTTCTCCTGGGTGATTTTTACCTGTGACAGAATTGATAGGGAGCCTGGTAATTCACAAGCGTTCTTAACCTCATTATAAATACACTGCAGATGTGAAAATGCGAAGTGCGGGAGTCATAAATGTGAAAGCAGCTTTCAACTTGTTTTAATGGGTGTTTTCTGTATCTTGTTATAACCTAGGGACCTGGCTGCACGAAACTGCCTGGTTGGTGATAATAATATCCTAAAAATCAGTGATTTTGGAATGTCAAGGCAAGAAGATGGTGGAGTGTATTCATCTTCTGGCTTAAAGCAGATCCCCATTAAATGGACAGCGCCGGAAGCTCTTAACTATGGTAAGAACGGACTCTGGTTCCCCCTGAGAATAAGGCTGGCCTGCACCAGCACAGCACACAGGCACGGTTTGGGTAGAGCAACACAGAGCGGGTGTAAACGTCCTTCCCATGCTCTCAGGCATGACAGACGTGCTCACAGCTGCGAGACAGCTGGGCTGAAAAGGTAAATGACCGTGACTAGACATCTAAGAATTCCTATTGTTCCAAAACTGGGCACCATCATGGCCATGCATCAGGTATTGCCGGGCTGGGGCCTGTTGGTTTGAATAGCCTGTAACTGATCCAGCAATCTTATCTAAGGTTAGACATAGTCAGTCGAGTCTTCAGTTTGTCACTCCGCAGGATCCTGGTCTCAGCCTCTGTCTCTGGAACTTATAAAAAAAAAAAAAAAAAAAAAACCACCCGTCTCATTGCCCAAGGTTTATATAAGAGTGGAGATTTTTGTGTTGTGTTTTTTTCTCTTCTTTTTTCCACTGAAAATTTTTATTGTGAGCAAGTCAGGACAACACATGGGAGTTAGTCCCTGCTATCCCACAGTTGTCCCCTGGGGCTGTTGTGGTTAGTACAGAATTTTCATACACCCAATAGCCCAAACTAGTGTCATTTCCTGGGGAGCCACTAGGTAATTATTTGAGTGTAACTGGCTTGGAAACCTGTTGACACAGAGTCAGATGCCTGGTGCCAGCAAGAGGGAGCTGTGAGCTTTCTAGGGATTGTAAACCAGCCTTAGAGTCCAGTGGAATCCCTGTCACTGCCCACAGGATTCTTCTCTGAAGTGGGTGCTTACCTTATAGATATACTACTAGATGAAAGATAAGACTGTAACACTTGTATCTCCACAGAGGTTTTCTTTACTTGCAAAATGTTTGTAAAAACCCTTGTGACTAACTGTTTATGGCAGGTAAATCTCTGCTCTGAGCACAGTGTGCTCTAGTGAACACCAGCCTCACGAAAGAATGTCCGAATTAAAGACTAACTACAGCTATGTGGACCAGACAAACATAAAGTGTTTTAAGTTAAAAAGACAAGTAGGAAGCTCTTTGGCTGACATTTAGGGACTTGTTTTTTTAACTGCCTTTGATTTTGTAAGATGCAGAAGAATTTAGGTGAAGAGAAAGAGTCTGTAGAGGGAGGTGACAGCACAGTTTAGTATGTGCTGTCCAGTCCAGGAGGAAGTTCCTGAGAAGGACACAGCCTCAGGGTCTACAGATTTATATTATGAAAGATTGGCTTCAGAACCTTGCACTTGTTGTTTGGTTGGTTTTTTGTTTTGTTTTTTTAAACAAGTGGGGAGGGTCAATTATCTCATGAAAGTTCTTAATTTCTTGTTATACTTCTATATTTACTTACTTCATATCCAGGAGCCCTTTCTTCTCTACTGCTTCCTTCCTTCCCTCTTGCCTCAGGCTGCTGAAATTCTACTCAGATCTTACATGAAGAAGAGGTCAGGGAGATAAAAACAATTTTCTCTCTAACAAAACTCTGGAAGCTTTGACTTAGGCCTGTTGGATTAAGTTGTGCCATTAGTGTTACTTAAAATGTCTTTAAAGAATCAGGCAATATTAAAGGGTCCCTAACCCACACCTGTCTTTAGCTACATAATTTCTCTTTCCAGGCACAGATATTCTTGCCATGCTCTCCTCTTGTTCTCAGACTTCTGAGCCATGTTGTTGTGACTATCTCTCTTCATTACCTTTTCCTCGCTCTGGTAGGATGCCCCGACAGCAGCAGCTTAAGGGAGGAGGAGCTGATTTCTGGTTTCTGTTTCCAGATGGTCATAGTTTGTTGTGGCAGGAAAGGCATGGCAGCAAGAAACAGAGAACGAACAGGAAGTAAGGCTGGAGCATAGGGCATCAGCACCTGTCCCCAGTGACCTGCTTCTTCCAGCAAGGCTTCCTTACCTTCCCAACATCCCCACCTCTTGGGGACCAACTGATCACACCGATCAGCCTATAGGGACATTTCACATTCAAACCACTACACTCCCCCACAAATAAATGATAGTATATGTAGACTGTATGGCTTGCATCTCTTCTACCCTCAGTCCAGTTTTCAACAAAAATACTAGGTTTATAAAGAAAAGGTAGGACTGATCTTCAGCTAAGAAACAAAGTCATCTATTTATCAGTTACTGACAAAAGTTTTCCAGCAGGGAGTGGAAGAAGGGGTCTTCCCCAGGGAAGAGCACATCAGTTGGTTGTCCGTTGTCATCTGGTCACCACTGAAAACACATATACAAGTAACAGTATAGGGACTAAACAGGTTACATTTAAATATATATGTATATACATATAAGCATGCATGTGATGACAGTTGGTGAAAAAAGAGGCTATAAATTTGAAAGAGTCGGGAGGAGAATATGGAAAGGATTGGGCAGAGGAAATTGGGAAATTGGAGAAGTGTTGTAATTATCTCAATCATTTAACAAGATAACCAGTTGCCACCTGCTTGTTTGGAGATGATGGTGAAGCCCACAGCATAACTAAGCAGGAATAACTTACAGTTATAAGCTATAACTACTGAGACTCAGGATTGAGAGGGACACAGGATTTTCTGCTTAGATATATTGTTAGCTTCCGGCCTGGGCAAGACATCTCCTACTCTATGCTTATGTCAATTGTAGTGCCTCTTCTCCAGGGGGCTGAGCGGCTCAGACAAGTCAAAGAGCAGCACAGTGCTGGCTCAGACTTACTCTGCAATGTTGAAAGGACCCAGGTTAAAGGTCAGGGAGGTTACAGAGGCTCTGAATGGGATCTGGTTACAAAGTGCCTGTCTTGATCTCCACCACACAGTATTTTACAGGGTAAGGTGTACATCGACATAACTTCTTACAAATTAGCCTTAACCTCAGCCACTGATTGGGTTTCATGAAAAGACATGATGTGTGAAGAAGAGTAACTCTCCTACCCAACAGCTCAGGAGACACCCATAACTACCTCTGGTCTAAGCAAGAAGCTAATTCCCCAGCTGGAGCTGATAATCAGCAAGTGCCCCAGACTGAGTGCCCGTCCCAGCACAGGCAGCCGCTCTGGCCACTTTACTCTCTTCCAGAATGGAAGAGGCCTGTCCACTTTAGAGGAACAGTTTTCTAGGAGTGGCATTCATAAATCCTTGAGTAGCAGATGGATAGAAAATGTTGTGATTCAGGCAACACATTGCTGTAAGCCAGCACTGGAGAGGTTCAGGTAGGACCTGGAGTTGAAGGCCAGCCTAGGCCACATGAGACAGGCAGGGCAAAGCCTTCACCATTACTGCAGGTGACAGCATATGCCATGTGTTAGACAAGACTCAGAAGTACATACTGTCCTGGAGACTGGGAGGGATGATTCTGCTGCTCCTCCCTGATTGCATATCTACCTCCAGAAGGCATCATGGGTAGGATTTTTATCTCCATGTTTCTGCTGAAGGGGACCAAAAAAATTTCTCAGAGTTCAGTTCATGTAGCTCAGTAAAACAGGTGCACCCAGATATTTTGACAAAACAAGGTACCATGTAATTTGAATACGTTCTTTTTTTTTTTATATCAGCCAGCTATTTTAATTTCCAGTCTATTCAAACCACACAGAGAAATGTTTTTTCTGCAAATGTAACTATCAGTGGGGAAATGAGACCTTTAAGCATGTAAGAATATCTGTAAACAGTGGTGAGGAAAATAATTTGAAGTCAAAAAACCTTCCTTATTGCTTTAAGTTTGTTTTGTAATTTTACTGGGGAAAAAAGGATGCAGGCAGAAGACCAAATTGTAGAAATCCAACTTATCTAATCTTCTAGGCACTGATGTGTGCAAATTTGTATTTTTATGTATATTCAAACCAACCATCTCATCCAGCTATTACAAGGGAGATAAGCCTGTATGGTGGCCGAATTTTTGTTGTTGGGGAAGGGGAGAACTGTTTTATAGCTCATTTAACTGAACTAGCCTCCTGAAGACTCCATCTAATTGTTGGCACTGCCAGGCCTGGAATGAACACGAGCACCAAGAATGGGATGTGGCTGTGGCACTCCTGTGGAAGCTGGGCCACAGGAGCCTGAGAGTGCTGCTCAGAGAGCCACTGTCTGCCCGTCCCACTGACTCACCTTTTATCACCATTTTCTCCCTCTCAGGGAGATACAGTTCTGAAAGTGACGTGTGGAGCTTTGGCGTCCTCCTCTGGGAGACATTCAGCCTAGGAGTCTGTCCATACCCTGGAATGACGAACCAGCAAGCACGAGAACAAGTGGAGAGAGGTAGGCCGAGGCCTCGGTGCCCCACGTTCATGTCCTAGCACAGCAGTGCCCGTGGCCTGTCTGGACCAGATTTGGGAGGGAAGAGTTACAGTGCTGTTTGTGACATAATAAAGAGGAAGTAGAGAAGTCTACTTCCGAATACTGTGGGTGCTGTGGGTGCTGTGGCGCCTACAGAACAAAAGCAAACACTTGCAAGCCTGTCCGACCCGTGTCTCGTAGGTGGCATGTAGCTGAGATAGCTGTGAACGTGGCAAGACAACTGGGAGTTTATTTAAAGCATCCTTTTCTTTTGCAATTTGTTAACTCTACAAGTTCCCAAGTGTGAACCGCATGCACACCAACCCTACCGTATCACAGTAAGAAAGGGTTGGGTATGTCTGCAGGGCTCTCAGCACATAAAGAGAACTGCACTTTATCCTGCTTGTCTGAGGTAAAAGAAGGCAGACTGCCTTAGAGTGCGTTGCTATGTCACACCAGACAAATCCCCTCAATCCTCCAAGTGGAAACGCTTCCAGTTTCCAGGAGGAATGCTGAGAAGGTAATCTGAAGGAAGACCATGGTCCTCCAGATGGAGACGGGGTGGCTGGCTGGCAGTAGCCCTCCACACACACGTGTAGGTCACAGCTTCCAACAGAAGGAATGTTGCCCCAGCCTCTACTCCGTGGCCAGCCTGCCTGGGGTGCCTGAGTGTGGGGGTAGCCTGCCTGCCCTCCTTGCACACACACCTCCCAGTACAGGACCCCAACACTGCCAGACAGAAGCCTGTGAGGAATGGAAACGGTTCCTCCTCAGCTCACTGCTGAGTGAGTGTACAGGCCCCCGTCTCCAGGCTTTGTCTTCATCTGATAACTCTGGAAGCTAATTCTCAGAACAATTAAAATATCAGTTGTATATGCTACAGCTTACTTGAGACTTGCTGAAGACTCCGTGGCTGTCTGTAATTGTGTGTTCCGCATCATTCACAACGCTGACAGGGGTCTGTTTCTATCCCAGTTACTGCGTAAGGTACTAACGTTTGCAAACAGCATGATGCCCCATGTGGGTGTTATGGCATATTCCCTTCCTGAGTTCTCTTCTCTTGAATCTTCAGGATACCGGATGTCAGCCCCGCAGAACTGTCCAGAGGAGATTTCTAAAATCATGATGAAGTGCTGGGATTACAAGCCTGAAAACCGCCCTAAGTTCAGTGACCTTCACAAAGAGCTCACTGTCATCAAGAAGAGATTCACATAGTACCAGGCAGAGCCAGCCTCCACCTGCAGGCCTCTGTCCTCAGCCACCCTGATTTTACACCACCTTACTGCAAGCATCTTTGAAGGTTATGGTTTTTGGTTTTTTTTTTTTTTTTTTTTTTTTTTTAATTAAGTGGGTTTTTAAAGTATGTTAAAGGCAAATTTATTCAAGAAATAAATAGTCCTTCCCAGGGCCATAGCTAACCACAGTAGCCCTACCATTTGAAGCCACTGTAGAGAGGAAAAAAAGCACAGGCCTAACTGAGAAGATAAAAGGTCTATCTCTTCATGCCTAGGACCACCGATGTTCTTCCAAGGTTTTCTACATCAGGCATAGCTGTGGGGTGCTCTCCTCTGCCACAGGCCCTCCTCAGTTGGTGCTATAAACAGCATTGGTAGCTCATGCTTGCAGGACGCATTCCCACCACAGTTGGCTTTCTACTCAGCCAAGACAAGATTGTACCTATAAATATAATCATATATTGGGAATTACTTGGACCTCCTAGGGTTTTTCTTCTCTCTCCTATCAGAACAAGCCCGGTGAGAACATCACGCTCCTGGGTTATTTTGTCTTTTACCTCCTCGGTTCAGGCTGCCGAAAATGGTGTGTGGAAACGTTACAGAGGGCACACAGTATAGAGGCAGCTGCTCCTACAGGGCATACAGAGGAGAGGGGGACAGAGGAACAGGTGACCAGGAGGGCAGGTTGGGAAAGAAACAGCTAACCAGTGTGCAACGAGGAGAAGAAAACAAGTAGCCTTCCTCCCTGACGTACAGCTTATAACACAATGGTCTGAACTCCCTAACAAGGTCTGAGAAGTGATTCAGGAGCTCACAGAGCCCAGTGGAAACTTCCCTAAAGATCTACAGTCCACAAAAGGAGCAGCATGATTCTAATTGTACATCTTCATCCTGGGGGACAGTCCCAGAATGGCGTCCCCTTTATTCGTGCCAGTTTCTGGACCTTCAGAGTCCATGACTCACATTCACAAACATATCCACGTATGTCTACTGAAGGGCATGGTTGCTCATGAATGAAATTAATGGGCCAGAAGTCAAATCATTGTTAATGAAGACAATCCCTAAGGATACCCATCACCTCCATCTCCTCTTTTCCCCCAAAGCCACTACCTGGAAATCCTACTGATAGCTCACAGCTCTGCAAGCCCACTGTGTGTCAGATGTATGCCAGTTAAACTAGGATTTGGTTGAACTGAATCTTACTGTGTGCAGGGAACTTCCCCATGATCTGTCACAGTTGTCTCAGGATCATTGTTTCCCCGCACCACTGCATGCAAAGCAACCTCCCTATCCGTACAGCTCTCCCTCAGGTCAGGCAGAGCTCCCCTTCAATGGCTCACACCACTGCAACCCAAGTACAGGGTGCCATGCTCTGCAGGCGTCTGCCAGCCCTCAGAAGGAGATAAGACCTTCCCTTTCAGGATTTCCAAGTGATTCTGTCTATAATACACTGTCTATGAAAGAGACAAAACAGCATCTCCCCGCTCAGCACTATGGTCCCAGCAAGTGACGGGAAGCTTGGCTCCAATCAGGGATAAGACCGGAAGTGTAATCCTTGCGTGTCCTGGTGGAAAGAGAACCATGGCATTGATATTTCACTCATCTAAGCTATTAGGATTTGCAATTCACATCATAACTCTTTGCTTAAATTAAAAAGGCTTTTCAAAACATCGTGACATCTGCAGCATTTAAATTCTATTTTATTCTTTGTCCCAGAGCAGGCAGAGGTATAGTTTAAGATTAACTCATCGGGAGCCTTTCAGGATCATGTCAGTCGTATAGAATATTAAATTTAACATAGGCACACGCATTAAGGAAAGCTTATGCAAAACATTCTTACTGTTAATTTTGTTATGCTTGAAGCATAATTTATTCATCCCTTCTGTTACTGATAATTATTGGAATTATGTACTTTAGGAGGCTAATCCATACCCAGAAAGTGCACATATAAATATACAGTTCTGATTTGCAAGTTGATTTAGGGAAAAGAGGCTGCAGAAATGCACAAAGTTCTATGACTCCTATGGTTGAAAAAGTAGTAATAGTAAACAGTGGCAACCAACTAACAGGGATGCGGCTGGCCCTGAGCCTGGTCACAGATCCTCATTTTCCTAGTGGAGCCCTCGTAGCCCTGCCCCGAGCTTTCCTCACTGGGCACGAAGGAGAAGACTGGTAAGCAGAAGCTGGCTGACTTTTCTTCTGCATTTTTCTGCCTTGAGTCACCAAGAAGCCTTCATGAGAAAGGGCGAGTTCACTGTTTTCCAGAAATAGAAAACTTGTCTGTCACAGTAGCATTCATGGTTGGTGTGTTTCATGTGACCTATGCTTTTCTCTCAAAGCCATTTTCTTAGGAAGACGATAAAGCGTTACTAGGCTTTCTTTCAGCCTATCCTGCTACCAGGTCAACAAGGGGAAGTTCCATGTGATACTTTCTCCTTTTTCCAAGACTTAACAGGGACAGTACAATTGGTTCCTCATTCACAGCTGGCCATCTTCCCACAAGCATCCATCAGTATAGCGTGGAGTATGTCTCACAGGAAACAGGAGTATCTTATGACTGAGACTGTATTCATTTCCTAAAATAACCAAGTTTCTGTTTTAGCCACTGTTTCCATCATCCAGCTACAGCACTGTGCCAAGGCTGTGTTGACAAGCAAGCACTTTAGTTGCAATATGTGCTCCATGCCAGGACTCAGAGTGAGCAAACTGGCAGTGCAGATCTCTGTTGTGTCATGGTCATCAGCTGTTGTACTGGTGTGCATGAACATCATCTTAATATGCTGTGTGTACACTCCCTCACAGCCACGAGTCCTCGAAGCAGGAGTGACAGCTTGAAGAGGGTTGTGCTTGAGTCCTCTTCCTTCCAGCACACTCCGTTTGTCATGCCACTAACATTCCGCCTGTCTCTAGTCAATAGATGTGATTGCCAGGGGAAGCCAGACTTCCCTATCTGGAGATCAGAGCCCTCGTGCAAAACTGCACCACAGCCGAGAAATTGCTGCAGAGACACGTCTCCCTCATGTGTCAGTGTCTTCAGCAGATGGGATCAAAGGCTTGATAGGAAAATCCATCGTTAAAGTGGCACGAGAGCTTAATATCAAAATAAAGTATTACATCTTATTAACTGATTTACTATACACATCAGAATTCTTTTATTAGATTTTTTTATTTTATTTATATTTTTCTGGGTTTATTAGTTTCATGTCAAGTCTGAGTATGTACTTTTTTGAGAATCCAAAATGTCACTCATTTCTGTATAAGACCACCTCAATTTAAAAGCCAGCAAAGTCACCCTGCTGGGACAGATAGACTTAAGCTCCCATAAAATGACCCTTTGAAAATCGTGTTCTAATACAGGTAGTGAATCAACTATTTATCACTGCCCTAAGTTGGTATGAGAAATGCACCCCTTGTCCCCACAAACCATCCCTCTGCCCTCTACTAAATTCAAAGATGAAATTCAGTGGTAGCATTACAATCACTGTGCTGTCCTGACAAGGTATGAACATTCTGGGATGATAGCAAAAAGAAGAAGAAAAAGCCTGCTGTGAAATTATTCATCCCTTTACACTGGCCAGGAGTAATGATCTGGGAGTAGGAGGCCTGTCAATGAGCTGCCCAGGCAGGCTGCAGGGAGGCAAAGTGAGCCAGTTCCCTGGAGCATGTGGAGAAGGTGGACAAAAACTGAGAGTGTCACCAGGAAGTCTGAGGAAACTGCCAGGAGGCCAGACTCTTCCCACAATAAATAAATAAACAAACAAACAGAAAAGATCATCAGCTTCAAAGAGCTCACCCCAATGCCAGGGCCTCTCTGTAGCAGGAGCCACTTGGCACCCCACTCAGAGCTGACACGGTGCAAGGGGATATTCCTCCCACTGTCCCAGTAAACTTGGTCCCATGTGCTCAGTCTTGAAGAAGGGTAGCCAAGGCTCTGTATTTGTACCTGTTATCAGAACTCCTTAGGTGAAGGCCACTGACTCTTCACATTTCATTGGAAATCTTGGTTAGGTAGGACCTAACCTGGGCTAAAGTTTCCTAAATGAGAACATGCTCACATCATCTTGTGGTACCTGTGGCCATCAGGAACTAAATGGTTCCTAGGGTTATCTGCTGAGAGGTGCTCCTACGTGGGACTCTTGAAGGAATAAACCAGCAGGGAAGCTGGGAAAGTTGCGCTGCTTTCTGACCTTACACCAGGAACCTTGGGGAGAGAGAAGAAATAGTCTCAAGAAACGTTGTGAGGCAGAGCCCGGTACAGCTGGGCAAGGGGTTGGGCATCCAGCAGACAGAGGCAGTGAGAGCAGCAATGAGACCCACTGAAAAGCCCCAAGCCTTGTTTGTCACCACAGAGCCAGCCTTGGAGACTGGAGAACAGCCTCCTGCTGGACAGAACCAAATAAAACACACCTCAAGCCTCCACAGCGGCTTCTCGAAGAGCCCAGTTGACTGTCCGCCTGTCTGCCTGCCTTATGTTCCCTGCTGTCTCAGGAAGTAGCCACTGTTTCTCTGCACAGCTGCAGAGGTAGAAGTCAAGCCCATTTCGTAAGCACGGGTAAACTGAGTAATGACACACCTAATGTGGCCAGCACTGCAGGGGAGTTGCTATGACTGTTTCCAGGTTTCATTTATTAATGAAAAGCTGTAACACGGCAGGTTTAGCTTCCTTACTAGCGAACTTGTCAGAATCCTCAAACAAGAATATTGAAGAACATTTCAGAACTACGTGCCCAAACATCTGTTAAACCAGCAAGACACACGGTGTTCCTCAGAGGACCTGAGTGCTAGGTCAATAGACCTCGTAGAACAACGTTCTCACGTGCTGTGTCAGATCCAGGAACTCTCAGACTTGCAGTTTTCCACACTTGCCCTTAGCTTCTGCCTACTATCCTTTCTCATCTTCAGCTTCGTAATGCTTTGCCAGAACAGAAAAGCCTTCATCGCTGGTTTATAAACACAAGTTTCTTCTGGGGTTTCTCTGCCCCCCCAGGAATGTGCAGCCCCATGAAGCCCAAGCACACAGTCAGAATGCAGACAGGAAACTCAGGTGCCAAGTGTGCTGAGAGTGGCCTTATCAGCAAAGGTTTTGGGGATTTTTTTTTTTTTTCCTAAGGACAGAAAGACTGTGAGTGAGCATGCCCAGGCTGAAAGCATCCCTGTTGTCCTGCACTAGTAAACTGAACCCCCCCCCCCCAAGCAATACTGGAGCAGAACTCTGTACAGAAAAGCCCTGGACATCTGATTCTTCCACACACAAGTCTAGGATAAGACACTCTGTATCCTCTATATACAATAAAAGTTATTCAAGTTACATCATGCTAAAAGATTTTCCAAAGCTTCAAGAAAGAAGGCACTGTGAGGGCTTGCGTTCAAAGTAAGCCGGTCTACCTAAATACATACCCTGGAACACTGTATGAAAACATCAGCTCTCCTCCATGGCTTCCCCAAGCACCTCCCCTCCTGGAAAACCAGACACTACCCCCTCTCTATTTGTTGGGAATTTCTGTAGCATCCAAATAAGTAGGTTATAAATGCCTCGTGGGAAGCCCTGTAACTACCAGTGCCCACAACAGAATGGTGAGAGACTTACCTCGGCCACCTGGTGAGAACAGCAAGAACCCAAGTATGAAAAGGGAAGTTAAATGTGATTCCGAATTCTGGTTCCTGTTATCTTCATGTAGCACTCATCAAATCACTTGGAGGTGTTCGAGGTGCCTGACAATCATCACAGAGCAAAAAGTGAGCCTGTCTTCCTGAGGTCTCCAAGTGCCCTGTATTCAAAACCTTCAGGGCTTGGAGGGAACCAGACAGCTGTTGTTATGGATACCCTGTGTAAGAAAACCACCCTCCCCCCGCCCAGCTTATCAGTCCATGCCTTTTTTTTTTTTTTAACTAAAAACCATCTTAAGAATTTTCCTCTTACAAAGAACTTGGTGGGAAGACTTGCCTGACAACTCATAAGAAATACCAAACTAGTGTAAGCAAATACAGGCAGGGACCAAGGTCGCTCCTCACAAAGGACAGCTGGGCTTACCCTGGACATGCCATGCTGCAGGACCCCACTCCATGCTAGGCGTAACTGCTCTCCTGCAGCAACAATCAGAAGACCAACACAGTTCCAAAGAAGTGAATTTCCCTTCGCTCCTTTGGCCCTGGGCCTTTCACATGCGTGGTACACAGAATGTGAATGCATCCCAAAGAATGAGATCACTTCTTTGTTTAGCATCAAGACTGCATCCTCCAGCTTCAGCAGGTCATGTAGGTATACGTCACAATCAAGTGGTTCTGATCAAGTCAAACAGAAGCTCATTTATTTCCAATTCATGACAAAAGTGGCCAGAAGACAGAAAATACCTTTCATCTGCTGGAAATATCACCTCACTATCACAGTGTCAGTATCCAACTGTATCCTGTGACAGTCTCCATGTGGACGGTTCCATCGTCGTCGTCCTCCTTCCTAAACCACTGAGACTGCCTGTTGAATCAGCTTCTCTAGTCAAACAGCTATAGATTTTTATATCTAGATACCTGTAGGCTTTATGTTTGTGTTTCAGTATGGACCAGCGGGACAGTGAGGATGAATGGTGGTGCACATCCTGTTGACTTTAAATTAGAGTTTGTATGTAAGTTGCTTAGTTTGGTCTGGATGCTTTTGTTGAGTGATCAGA